TTTTGCAAGTTACTAGTTCTGAAATAAAGTGTAATCCCAGCACTTTGGGAGGCTGAGGCAGACCGATCATTTGCGGCCAGGAGTTCGAGACCAGCCTGGCCAACATGGCACAAGCCCATCTTTACTAAAAAATACAAAAATTAGTTGGACATGGTGGCACATGACTGTAATCGCAGCTACTCAGGAGGCTGGGGTGGGAGAATCGCTTGAACCCAGGAGGCAGAGGTTACAGTGAGCTGAGATCATACCACTACATTACAGCCCAGGCAACAGAGGGAGACTACATCTCAAAAAAAAAAAAATATATATATATATAGTTAGAATGAATTATATACTTTAAATGGGTAAACTGTATGGCATATGAATTATATCTCTAAAAAGCTATTTTAAAAGTTAACAAAGAGCTAGTTATATCCTTTAAACAACTTTATGTAGAAGATTTAAAACCTACTGGCAAACGCTCTGACACTCCTCCCATTAAGAGATCACCTCCTCTTGAAACTGGGTGGGCATTTGTGACTGCCTCAGCATTACTTCTGCCACATTCAAATTAAGTCAAATTAAGTGACTTAAGAATTCACTTAAGAATCTAGTTAGAAAAAATCATGCAGCTTCTGCCAATCTCTCTTAGGATGCTTGCCCTTGGAACCCTGCCATCACACTGTGAGGAAGCCAGGGCTACATGGAGGGGCCCCAGCTGAGCTCCCAGCCCAAAACCAGCATCAACTTGCCAGCCAGCTAGGTGGTCAAGCTATCTTGAAAACTGTCGCGGCTGATAGCACATTGAAGAGTCACCCTGCTTAACCTTACACAAATTAAAGAGTTGTAAACAAAATATTTGCCATTATTTGAAGCCATTAAGTTTTAGGGTGGTTTGGTACACAGCAATGGGTAACTAGAATACTTTTTATACTTAAAAGAAGGATAAAAGCAGTGTCTAGCCTCCTCCTACTCAGTGCAGACACTTCTTTCTAGCAGATGATCACCCCAACTGTCCGAAAGTTTTGACTAACAAGAAGATCAGGCCCTCAACAAAGCTACCCCTTCCACTGATGACCAACTCTGGGAATTATGACCTGCCTTATATTAAAACCAGTTCTGTCATGCCCAACCTCTGGTTTAAGTTCTTTCCTCAAGGTGACCATTATTATCTAAAACCTCTTCTTCAGAACAGGCCTTAACCTTACTAAACAGTAGAGAAATCTTTAGCTTTCTTCTACTACATAGCTGAGGAACGTGAAGTGCACAAACTGGCTGCTTTACCCAAAGTTACACAATAGATAGTTGAATTTCTGGCATAAGGTTTTTGTTTAGTATTATTTCTATTGAATATGAGGCAAATATAACAGATACAACATGTGTTGTCCATACTCAAATCACAATTTTCATACTTAAGCTATCATTGTTTAGAGAGTTAATCCTCATTTCTATTATCTAGGAGGAAGAGTATGGGCATGAATAACTGGAAGATGAAAACCGCTTTTCTGTACCACTTTTCCTCACCTCATGTGTACTTAAATATTTCCTGTTTTAACTCCAGAAAGCCAGTAAACTCTTGCAGGGCAGGGATAAGTCTTATAATTGAGTCTTACTTGGTGTTTGAGTACATATATACTGAATAATTTGCCTACCTATGGGTGGCAGCATACAGATAAGGATAAAAACATTTCTTTTGAAATAATGTAAACACAAGTCTTACAATCCAAAAATATTTCTCATTACATCAGTGTAGGAATTGTATAGTAAACTGTCTTCTTTTTCAAAGTCGCAGCAATAGAAAATGAGCTTCTTACACTGTTGACTACAGTATGTCAGTTGCTATGACAATGCTTAGTCCCCAAACATTCTTTCTAATTGAGACAATTTCTCTCAGCTTCAGTCCCCTAAGGCTGACCCAATTACACAACTCAAACCCCAAAACCCAAGGGGTGTCCCTCAATAAAGATACTCTAGGCTGGGTGCAATGGCTCATGCCTGTAATCCCAGCACTTTGGGAGGCTGGGGGGGGGGGGTGGCAGATCATCTGAGGTCAGGAGTTCAAGACCAGCCTGGCCAACATGGTGAAACTCTGTCTTACTAAAAATATACAAAAATTAGCCAGGCATGGTGGTGCACGCCTGTAATTCCAGCTACTCAGGAGACTAAGGCTGGAGAATCACTTGAACCCGGGAGGCGGAGGTTGCAGTGACCTGAGATCGCGCCACTGTATTCCAGCCTGTGCAACAACAGAGACTCCATCTCAAAAAAAAAAAAAAAGATACTCTGATTACACAACCTAAGGAAAAATATAAACGCCCTTTTCCAAGTTGCAAGGAAATTTTTCAGGCAACCCATTTTGTTTTTACACTTAAAAGTCTTACAAGTTGAATGGTAATTGTCTGATAGAACTTTAAAACTGTCTATGCTATAATCCATGATCGCATTCCAGAAGCCTAAACTTTTAATACAAATCATTTCTATTAATATGCATGCATCATATCTCATTTATGTTCTCTGGGCTATATTTGCATTCTGTCCCTTTTAAGGTACAAGACCATGTTCAGTAAAAGTATCATTGGAGTAATACAGAACATTTGCACACTAGCCCAAATTGACCTGATGGGAGGCAAGGAAGTAGAAAAACATATTTTATTTATTTATTTTTTCAGATTCTCACTCTGTTGCCCAGGCTGGAGTGTAGTGGCCCAATCATGGCTCACTGCAGACTCTAAGTCCTGAGCTAGGTGATCCTCCCACCTCAGCCTCCCGAGTAGCTGGGACTACAGGTATGCACCACTATGCCCCACTAATTTTTGTATTTTTAGTAGGAATGAGGTTTCGCCACGTAGCCCAGGCTGGTCTGGAACTCCTGGGCTCGAGAGAGCCACCAGCCTTGGCCTCCCAAAGTGCTGGGATTACAGGCATGAGTCACCATGCCTGGTCCCAGAAAAAAATATTTTAAATTGTATAAAATTTAACAAGCTATCTTAAATGAGGCACCTTAGAAAGAATTCCTAGTAATTCTAAAAGAAAAAAAGTCCAAAAAGAAAAAGCTACTTGGGAAATGTGGTATCTGCATTGTCTCAAAACGTAAGCCGGTAATTCTCTTCGATAGTCCAAAAGATTTTAAAATTGGGTTGTTTTCAGAATATAATGCTCATTTGGTTAGAAATTCTCATTTTGATTCATTGAGTTGATTAAGATTTTGACGTTCATTATACACACACCCAGAAGCATGAGCTTATTTCACATATCCAGTAACATCTCTTACATCTCTACAACTACAGAACTTAGTAGTTTCTCAAAAAAAAAAAAAAATGTTCTCTGTAAGCTCAAAACAGTATCTACAATTGAAAGTTTACTACACACTCATTTGTAAGGAAAAAGCTTAGATGTTGGTGTCCAGTATTATATTTCTCAATGCATTTACTCAGCCAATGGGCAAAAGAAGAAAAAAAAAAGCCAGGACACACCCACTTATCTAAAAGAAGGATTAACATGAGAAATCCCAACTAACCCAAATAGCATGCTAATAAACGTTAACTGTAAAACAATTTATTGTGAAACGATGAGTCATACATAGGCAACCAAGACTACTATAAATAAAAAACAAAGGCATTTTACGTAATTTAGATGTAGCCGGGGTTCAGAAGAAAAAACTAAAATAAAAATAAAATATACAGCTTTCTCTGTGGCAGACAGTTCAAGCTAAAAGAACATTGTTAGTGATCTTTTAAAAACCGCCTATCAAACTTTAAATGGCAGGTGCAATCTTCTTCTGAAACAGACAGCACAGTACTTTCTTCCCCTACATTATAAAATAATGCTATCGAGTATGACTAAGAGAGAATGTACTGAGTGACCCAAGAAGGGTGTGTATGAGAAGTAGGGGGAGAAAGATGGGGCTGAGAAAAACTGCAAAAAGCTTTCAATTTCTTAATTCTGACTCTTCGAGACCAGAGCTTACCTGAATACATTCTCTTGGGGATTGGAAATCATGCAGAAAGTTCTATGACTCCAAAACGTCGATACGTTTACTATATTCTTGGGTAAACATATGTTGCCTTAAGCAAGGAGTTAACTGTTCATAATACTTATTTGAAAAATCCCTTATTTTGTTTGGGAGCAATAACTGGTAAGTCTATCAAAGTATTTTAGTAGGCACAAATGAAGAACTATGAAGAAAGAGGAACTATTGTGAAATGTATGACCAAGTGTGTTTTGTGTAAGACTAATGGACGTTTTCAAAGTTTTTTGGTTTCTGGCTATATACAAAAGTGAAAATAAGGACATTTTCATTCATTTAAACCAGCAGGAAAATACTATCTGGTTTATGCCGCTTATTTTCACCTTACAGTCTTAATACACATTCTAAGACTGATTCGATAGTCATTATTTCTTTCGGATAACTGGAAGCGGAGGGAGAATAAAGCCGTACATTAAACAGTCCACTCAGTAATTGAGAAAATTCAGCAGTGAAATATATCATGAGGCACCAAAGAGATTTACCGGGGAGGGCAGACAAAAGAGAAAACAGCCACAGCACATTAAGCCCCGGAAGAGATGAGAAT